TCTCACCTTGCAGTACCAGACACAATTGACGGTGTGGATGGTACACCATTACTGGAAATATTAGGGATTAATTCAACCTTTCTGTCTTGAACAGTGAAGTTCTCATCTTGCTTCTTTTGTTTCCCAGAATGCTGGCAGTCAGGCCTATTCTTTCCCACCTACGTGCTGTTAGCAGGAATTGGGAGAATTCTGCTTGGCAGGTTTTGGAGAGATTGACCTACCCAAGAGGAAAGATGAGCATCTCTCTCAACAGCCGAGGCTCCCCTCATGGAAAATTGGTTCAGCCTGATCACCCCAGAGGGAAGCCCTCTGTTGAGAAGCCAGCCCTTTGCACATCACACTTCTCATCAGCATCTCAGCGCCTCATTCTTAGACATGAATAGACGGCCTAGGATTGTCAGACCCCGAGGAAGTTTCCACATAAAAATCAGAGGTCACAACAAACAGGAAAAAAAGCTCAGAATAAATAGAAAATGCTGACAAATTTTAAAATAAAGGAATATCTCAGGGTGATAAAAGAAGATGTGATAAGAGCAGATAGCTGTTTCTGATGAATCTCCTCAGAACAGAAAAAGTTCTTAGAAATTTAAAATATGATTAAAAATTTTTAATTAAATAGAAGCTTATTAAAATAAAACTGAGGAAATATCCCAGAAATTAGAAGAGAAGATATTCTAAAAGATTATAAAGTTAGAGAATCACTCAGGAGCTTCAACTGATGGGTACCAGGAATTCCCAAAAAAAAAGAGATAACATAGGGTTTGAAATTATCAGAGAAATGATACAAGAATATTTCCCCAAATGCTTATTTTCAGGTAGAAATGACCCACTGAGTACACAACACAATATATATTTTTTTAAAGTCCCATACTAACTTAAGTCTTCATGAAATTTCAGAGTACTGGGACTAAAAGAACCCTAAAATCTACCAGTGAGAAGGGAAAAAATGGGGTACATAAAAAGGATTGGGAATCTTAACATGAAGAGCTTATCAACAGAAACACTGTAAGCTAAATATAGTTCTCAAATTTTCAAGCCATAACACATAGTGAATAAAAATAGTTGTCAGGCACACTGGGGTCCATAGAGAGGGTGGCTCACAGCTAAAAGCAGGAAGCTCAGAGGCTCTGGTCCTGCCTAAAATACTCACAGACTGAGGGGATCAATCTATTAGCCCTAATATGGGACAGGAGGCAAACTAATTTCAAAGTTACATTTTTATACTCAACTAAATTACCAATCAAGTTTAAGAGTAAAGGAAAGACATTTTCAGACATGCAAGCTCTGAAAAAAGATCTACCTCCAGTGTCCTCTAAGGAAGTTACCAGAAGACATGCTTCTCTAGAACAAGATTGTAAACCGAGAAAACACAGAATTCAGGAACCAGGACTCCAACACAACACAGAATGGCAGAGAGGGGATCCCCAGGATGAAGGTAAGGGGATTCCCAGGAAGGGATTCCCAGTCCTAGAGGACCAGTAAATGACAGTTGGAGCATGAACGGCGAAGAGGGCAAAAGAGGACACTTAGAGATCATCTAGTTTTTTAGAATATTGATTTTACAGTTTATAGGTTTTGAAAGCTTGGGTTAAATGCATAGAAAACTACCAAAGGAAAGCTATGAGACAATTATCAACTCAGGAAAAAGAGGACCATGTATAAGAAAGCATATGAAATCAGTTCACCACACGACTGAGATATGAACACTCTTCACATCGACGTAGCTCTCTAAACACTTAGTGTTGAATTCACAGAATGTGAAAAAACCACACTGGTAAGATGGAGGAGGAGAAATATGTAGCAAAAAGAGGGGCATATAAAAGAAGTAGTGCTCACTTTCCACAGTGGGAAAAGTGGAAAGTGCTATTTACTGAAAGTAAGTAATAGCAAACTATAAAAAAACAAGAACTAGAACAGGCATAGTATTTAGAACTGAAAAGCTCAAAGTGCTAACTGAATGAGGCTGCCTCCTAAGAAAAGAATCAGAGTGGAGAGGGATGGGGCAAAGGACTGCTGCTTTTCATTTTGTCTTATATTTCACCTTTTAAACTTAGTCTATGTATTAATTTGATACAAATAAAAATTAAATTTTAAAAAAACAAAAATTTCTTTCTCATCTAAAAGCTAATTCTGACTTCATAACTCTCACCCATTTGTTGGCATGCTTCTACATTGTAGAAACATGCAACAGGTTTTCTCTCTAAAGCACTTGGCCGAAAGTGATATGGCCATGACACACTAAAGAATGCATAATTAATATTTATTCGTCATTATATACTTATGTAACACCTAACTCGCTCCACAGTATTAACTAGTTTAATCCTCATATTATTATATCTATTTATAGATGAGGAAACTGAAGCTTCCAAATCATATGGCTGGCCAGTGGCAGAGCCAAGATGTGAAACTAATCAGGTTGACCCCAGCATCCAAGCTCTTTACCATCTCATTATTCATCTTGTAAGAGTTTGTCAAGGCTTAACCATCAAGCCACAGACAGAAGCCTTGCTCTGGCCTCCCTGGGTTAGGGACGCATCCACTTCAAAAACTAAACTGAAACAGGTAGTTCTGCACGTGGCAGGCTAGACTGTTTAGTCCAACTCTCCCACGAAAAACACCTAGAAGAGGGGGTCAAAATATTTTTTAAATCTGTTTGAAAGGCATCAGAGAGCTTTCAAGGCAGTGAGAATTTGTGGGGCCAGGATCCAGAAGAAGAGGCAAGGCAGGAGAGATAAAGCCCAGCATTTGGAGCCACTTTTCCACCAAAGGTGATTGCTACTTCCAAAAGCAAAAGCAAGGGCTGAGGGGCTGAGAAAGTGAACAGAGCTTCCAACAGTCTCACAAGACCAGGAAAGAAACTGGAATTCAGGAGAAGCCAAGGAAAAATGCCTTTGGTAAACACCATGGTTTCAAGTTGGGACCCTATAGGGCTACACCCTAGTTGTCAGAGCAGACAAGAAACACACCAGCTCTCACAAACATGGACCCGATGCTTAAAAAGGGTTCAATTTCTGGCTGAATTAAGATGATATGCCACCAGTCTAACTGCCTGTAAGAAACAAAAAAGCCTGTCTGAAGGATGAAAACATCATCCAGAGTATCAAATTATCTCCACACTTTTTAATACATAACGTCTGGAATGCAGTCAAAAACAAGCATATATTACAAAAAATAAGAAATGATAAAAAGAAGAAAAACATACAGTAGAAACAGACACCCAGGAGATCAAGTTACTAGAGATAACAGGCATAGATTTTAATAAAAACTATAAAAAATAGTCAAAAACTCTACAACATATTATAATACTGAAATTGAGAAGTCAGAGAATAAGCTTAATGGTACATTAAATGTATTCTCAAGAAAGAATTAGTGAACTAGAACATAAATCGGAGAAAACTATCTTGACTGAAGCATGGAGAGAAAAAAAGGAGGAAAAATGCAGGAAAAAAAGAGAGAGAGATGCCACTTTTGCTATTTCTTTTCAACACAGTCCTGAAAGTCCTAGCCATAGCAATTAGGCAAGAAAAAGAAATCAAAAGTACCCAAATAGGAAAGGAAGAAGTAAAATTATCCTTGTTTGCAGATGACACTGTCTTATATGTAGAAAATCCTAAATATTCCACACAAACAACCATTAAAACTAATAAATAAATACAGCAAAGCTGTAGGATACAAAATCAACACACAAAAAACAATGAATAATATGAAAAGGAAATTAAGAAGACAATTCCATTTATAATAGCCTCAAAAAGAATAAAATACTTAGGAGTAAACTTAACCAAGGTGGCATCCCAGCTGAGCATGCAGACTCCAGCTAATGCTAATATTAATACTGATACTAACATCAGATGATATAGATTTTTAAGGGGAAAACAATGCCAGAAAGAAAAGAATATCATTTCCTAATGATAAAAGAGTACATCTAAGAACACATATTGATTCTAAACTTTTTGCACCTAATAATATAACCTCAAATTATATATAGCAAAACTGATAAAACTGAAACGAAAGTAGACAAATCCACCACCTCAGTGACTGTATTAGTATGGCCATTAGAGGACATGGCCAACTTGCTAGAGAAGTTACCATCCACCCAGTAACACTGTACAAAGTGCAGAGCCTCACGGGGTAACCAGCAGGCTACCTCTTCAAATGCAGAGACCCAAATTATGGCTGGTAGGTTTGACCCCAAGCACCACAGAGAGTGGCTTTTAGAGAGCCTCTAAAAGCAGCAGTTTGGGGAGGAAGGAAGGAAAGAAGATTAGATAGACACGGCCGCAGAAAAGGACAGGAAACTCTCAGCCCAGCCGCAAGCCCCCTAAGTCCAAGATTCAGGTGTTCCAAGGTCACCCTGTGGTGACAGAGCGTGTATAACACACAGAAAACCAGGGTGGAACGTGATTTCCCAAGGAGAGATAGAAATAGACAACCAGCTCTAGACCAGGAAGAGTCAGAAATGCAGGCCTCACCCTGCCAGCATCTTCTCAAAACAGAGAGCCTTTGTAGGAACAGGATGATCCCTGTGAGTCATGCAGTCATGAATTTATAAAACTCATATTTTAGGGGATTTTTGGTTTCATGAGGCTAGCAAGAGGGGCATATTCTCAACATGGGCTGTCCTCCCCAGTGTGCAGGGCAGACCCAACGCTAAGTGAAGGGAGAGGGCCCACATGCCTACATCTGGACTCTTCAGGGCGGAGTCATGACTAGTCTGCACAGTTAAGTACTGATCAGCTGAACCAGGACAGTTTTGAGAGTAAAAGTGGTCACTGTTAGACACTGTGCTGGGATAATCTGGCCCAGTCAAACTAGGACCTCTAGTCAGCCTTGTCATTATTGATGGGAGTAAACTTAACGTGGTGACCACAGTGGCAAATTGTGCTTGGTGAGCCTCCATTTTAAGCTCCCCTTTGCTAAAATAGCCTGTCTCTTAGGAAGCCGTCTTGCCACATTAAAGGGGAAAAACCCCCACATTCCTGTAGTTAAGACCATTGCCTTACCAGACAGACTGTTCTGGAAACTTTCTTGCATATTCACATGTCGAGCCATTTCACAAGTCTTCCTGACAAATCTCATGAAGGCTTTCCAGTAGTGGGTCTGTTCCAGGGACGACTGTGCTTTTTCCAGTGTATGAAATATCCTGCAGTCAAAAAGAATCCAGAGAAAACTAAAATTAATAATGGTTTTCCAAAAGACAGATCATTACAAATTCATCTAAATACAAATATACACAAGTGCCTGGCAGTCCGCGTATGTTGGAAATTAGAATCTTTGAAATAGTTTCCTTAATATGTATTTGTTAAACAAAGAATTCCCCACCCGATTTAAAAAAAATGAAAGAAAACTGCTCATAGGAATACATAAAATATAAGACACAACAAATCAAGAGAGAAGAAAGTGGAAAATTAAAGGCTATAATATGAAATGAGCATTGAAGCTAAGGAAAATAATTCCCTATTTGATATATTTGACTATGAACTTCCTAGCAGCCAAGAAGAATGGAAATTAATCACACATATAATTCACGAAGTCATAAAATAAAAGCAAATTTTCTGGAGAAACACAGCTCCCAATAGAAACCACCCATTGGTAGTTAATGCAAGAATTCCAAGTAATGCAATAAACAAGAATCTCAATCTTATCCACACCTTGGACTAACAAGGGTCCTAGATTTCTTGTGGAAGATTAAGCCAATGGTTAAACTTCAAAGGAATTGTTTAATATTTTGTATTTTTAGATGCTTTCCAATAGTGCCAAATAGGTTAATCTTTTTTTTTTAAAATAAAAAAATTAAACATCTCTCTATTCTATTCTTTAGAAATAGAATATACTATGTTGATCTGTAGCTTGAGTAGAAGGAGAAGTTGGAATCATTTTGGTCTCCAATTATTCAGAAGTTTTCCATCTAACACAACTTACACTGTGGAGATAAGTTGGTCTTTACAGTCACAAGAAAAGTTACTATTTCCAGTTGAGATGTCAGCTCCCAGCAGCCCGAAGAGCCGAGTACAGGAAAGGCTCACTGCCAACAGCTGTGCCTCCAGTTCCTGCCAGCCCAAATATCCTTCAGGTATCGAAACTGGCATATTTGTGTGCCCAGTAATGACCTCTTGCAAAAGATGATCCTTATCAAGAGATGAGAACATTGCTTGTAATATATAAAGCAATTAAAATGTGGGTACCTGCAATGCAGCCTTTATCTACTCTCACTTCACAAGCTGTCCTCTTGAACTGTGCATCAAAGACTGTGCCCTGTTATATTGTTAGAGCATAAGTGATAGTCCTAGACTTGAGTCTTTAATAGTGTTCAAGTGAATAGACCCAAAATAAAGCCTCATCCAGTAATGGAGCAGAAGGGAACCACATGTCAAACCCGTCTGTGTTGGCTAGTCCCCTCAAAAGCCCCCAGTGGACCAGACCTCCTGATAGTCACTCTCTTGGGCTTCCCCTCCCACAGTTAATCTAGGCTGGGCTGTGACTGACAGCCAACAAAATGCAGCAGACGCCACATGTGCCCATTCCAGTCCTACCCTTCCTGAGGAGCAGCAGCTCCCACTCCCTCTCTCCTGCCTGGTATCCCGCCAACTGCCACATGAGAAGTCTGGCTACCCTGCTGGGAGACCACGGGGAGAGGCCACAAGTAGAAGAGAGACCCTGAGACTCAAGAGGAGAAAGGTCCAGTCACCCTGGTATCCCAGCTGAGCATCCGGACTCCGGCTCCCACCACCATCTGACTGCATCTACTTAAGCGATGTCCAGTAAGACCTCAGAAGAACTTCCCAGCAGAGCCATGAGAGATCATAAAATGTATTTTGCTTTAAGCCACTGAGCTTTGGGGTGTCTGTTAGTGACAAACAACCCAAGCCCCATCGGAAAGGCTACCTCATATATATATATAGCCTGTAAATACACTCACGCCACCAGCAGGTCCTGCTGGGTCCCTGCTCTGTGGGGCGCTATGACTAGGCTTTACAGATACAAAGAAATTTGGGGTGGGCTTTCAGCCAGGAAAGAGCTTACAAACCAAGAGCAGAAAAGCAACTGTGCAAACAGGTAATGGTTTCTCGTACCTGTGTGCCTTCACATACACTTCCCCTCTGCCTAGAATCCTCTCCCAATTTCTAATTGCTTCTAAATTGTGTACATGGTTTAAGGTCCATCGACTCATTTGGGAAGACTTCCAGAAGCTGTACTCCATGCCCAGTGGTTGTCTGCCCTTCTCAGGCAGGACAGTGTCTTCACGTCCAGCATACCATCATGACAGAGCAGGTGCTAAGAAAGCATTGATTGGATTAAACTATGTACACAGTACTATCTCAGTTTTCTTTTTGCTTTGACATAGTTTTCGGTTCACTGGTTTCATTATTTCATTGGTTTTATTTCATGGTATATAAGGAAGAAGATTAAAAATGCAACAGGTAATTCTGAGAAAAAATAAACTACAAAAAGGTAAACGTTATAATTTTTGGTGCTCAGTAAGAAAAATATGGGCTAAACTTGACATAATCATCTTTACTAATAATTGCAGTCCTGAGTGCTCAGCAAAGGCAGCCCCGTGTCCAGGGCAGGGACATGAGAAGAACACGCCCTTCAATGCCTCTGGCCACTAGAAGCGACAGCTTTGCTCAAAGCTGACTGATCACCAAAGATATTCCTCCCCCCTTCTTAGCATTTGCAGCTAGAATTGGAGTAGGACAGGGAACCCGAAACCAGGGTGACACAGTTTGAAACTGTGGGGGGAAAACCTGTTTAATGTCAAGTAGATTTGGCTGGATGCGTGGCTCACAACCTCCTACGGTGGTCAGACAGGAGGGATGGAATCCAGGGGCAGCTGGAATCCGCAGATGTCAACACCTGCCTTGCAGAATCCCAGGTTAAATACTAGCATAACCTTGAAAACGAGCCCACTGGTGCTCTTGGAAGAGATCAGATGGTGCATACTTACAGCCTCCTTTACTGAGCCAAGTAGGTTGTTTAAAGCACTGGTCTCACTGGAGGAGTTGTGACGACACATGAGTCCCCAGAGGCCCTCGCAGACGCTGGAGTTCCCAGGATGCAGGAGGGCCTCCCTCTCAGACAAGCATCCACCGAGGCACAGGTCAGTAGCATTCTTCATCAACAACTAAAAGACAAATGAAAGTGGGAAGGAGGTAACACTTAGAGAGGCTTAGACATCCTCTCCAAGGGCTAGAGAACTAGAAACAGAAATCAGAGGCAATCAAAATTTTAAAATAAAACATAAAGTTCTTCGGAAACTTGCCTATCGTTCTCTTTATTTTGCTAGCACGATTCACAACAGCAGCAAAACTGAATACTGCGTGAGCTCCTTGGATATTTTCTCAAAATCGTTTATTTTTAATCCTGTGCTGCACTTTACCTGCTTTAACTCCCAAAAGAACACGTCCTTTTCCAGTTTCCATTGGCCAGGTCCACCCAGTGTAGAGTCGTTAGCTGATGTCTCCAGGCAAAGGAGGATTTCTGCAAGATTGACAGACTGGTTTATTATTCTTCACCTAAGGCAGGCTACTCCAAGCTAGACGTCTACACATGGCCATGAATCAATAAACTGAATCCTGAAAAAACGCACTTTAGCAACCCGGAATCATACATTTTATTATGGTCCCAAGAGAGGAAAACTGAGAAAAATCACTGCAATAACATTTCACCCTTTCTGAAGACACACGAGAATGGAGTCATAGTTACAGGAGAGTTTTATTTCAAAAGCAACAGCCCTCTTGTTTTCTTCTCTCTCCACCATCAGAGAGTAAGAAGCCTCCAGCCTACCTGGTGCAAACTTGGCCACCTCTGAGGAAGGCAGAGGAGTAACACCACCACAGTCAGTGGAAGTTCAAAGAAGGGCATCCTGCGAACGAGGAGGAACATGCTCTCCCTGTCCGACACTGAGGAGCAGGAGAGGAAACAGAACGAGGATGACTGTGGTCCCTTTCCAGCCTGAGCACCACGGATGCTGGTGTGAATGTGAAGGTCAACCCGTGGTCCTAGGAAATCGCCTGTCACAGCCCAGTGTGGGTCGACAGTGGACAGAAGGATGCACTCTTGACTGTGACAGCATTATGTACTCAGCCTTGGTGTGCCGTATTTAAAACTCCCCAGGGGTACCATAGCAAAGCATATATATTGATATGCAACCTCAGCATAACGTCTCCAAATTTGCCAAACATTTGCTCCTCGTGAGCTGGTGACAAATAACACCAGAGCTAGTTTACCTTGGACAAAATGTAAATTCTGGGCCATCGCATTCCTGAAAGCACCATCAAGCTGAAGCAATGTCTTCAGAGCAGGCCACTGGGGCAGGTTTCGAAGAACACTCTGCAATTTCTGTAGATGCAGTAATCTGAAGGCAAAAATAAATGAAATAAAATGGAAAGCAGTTCAATGCGCTACCTAGGGAAATGAAAACTCCATTCCCAGGAAAATGTTCCACTGCTTTGGAAGTGCCTTCATAGACCGAAAGTCCCACTTCACTACTCATACATATAACCAGGTTCTGGACAGATTGTATTGCTTGAATCCGGGATCTGGGGATTCTTTTAGGTACCGAATGTGGACTAAACATTCTCTTTACCCAATAACAGGAAAGTATATTGCTAGTAGTATGTAAAAGAGGTGAGGGTTAGGATAAAGTTCCAGGTGAGATTTAAAAATATTTGCCATGCACATGAAAGGATGTTCAACATCATTAACTATCAGGGAAATGCAAATCAAAACTGCAATGAGCTATCACCTCACACCTGTCAGAATGGCTATAATTAATAAGACAGGAAACAACAAGTGTTGGAGAGGATGTGGAGAGAAGGAAACTCTCATACACTGCTGGTGGAAGTGCAAACTGGTGCAGCCACCATGGAAAACAGTATGGAGATTCCTCAGAAAATGAAGGATAGAACTACCATACGATCCAGCTATTCCACTGCTGGGTATTTATCCAAAGAACTTGAAAACACCAATTTGTAAAGATACATGCACCCCTGTGTTCATTGCAGCGTTATTCACAATAGCCAAGACTTGGAAGCAACCTAAGTGTCCATCAAGAGACAAATGGATAAGGAAGATGTGGTATACATACACAATGGAATACCACTCAGCCATAAGAAACAATGAAATCTAGCCATTTGTGACAACATGGATGGACATCGAGGGTATTACGCTAAGTGAAATAAGCCAGAGGCAGAAGGTCAAATACGGTATGATCTCACTCATAAGTAGAAGATAAAAACAACAACAAACAAACACATAGAGACAGATTGGATTGGTGATTACCAGAGCGGAAGCGGGGAGGGAGGGGGGCGAAAGGTGTGATTAGGCACATGTGTGTGGTGACAGATTGTAATTAGCCTTTGGGTGGTGAACATGATGTAATCTATGCAGAAATAGAAGTATAATGATGTACACCTGAAATTTATACAATGTTATAAAACAATGTTACCACAATAAGATAAAAAATTTAAAAAACTACCACAAAAAGAAAAACAACAAAAAAATAAAAATATTTGCCATAAAGCCTCCAGTTATCAGGTGCTGAAAAATATTTTAAGAAGAGTTTCAGAACGTCGAGATGGTGTGTGGTGGAGTATGGGACCCATTTAAGTGGTCCCAGAGTGGGAGAACTAGCAGCATTTGCAAGATTCTCAGCGGTCCAGGAAGGACAACCAACCAGGCAGCTGGATACCTACAGCCCAGGGGAATAAGGCAAACAGGGTCCAGACGTCTCGCAGACACATAAGGAGCTTCCAAGCTGGGCCAGCTGCAGAGACTCCACGTTGCCCTGGGAAGCCAAGAGGAAAGTCACTGGGGAAATACTTCTAGCACACCCAGTGGGAGCTGCAGCCACTTTCCTGCCTGAGCATCTGCTGCGGAGACAGAGGGAGGGCTTGAGGGATGCTCCTCCTGTGGGCTTCAGCCTGTAAAGGAGGAGGACATCTTACTCGGGAGGATGGAGGAAGCAACCCAGAAGAGCAACTGGAAAGAAAGTGACTCTGAGAATGAGAGGAAATTGAAATCAGAATCAAATGTGAGATCTCGAAGAGCCAGATGTGGGTCACACCACGGGGGCAGAAGTGCCCCAGAGCAGGTAAATCCAGACTCTCTAAGCCTCTGTACAAGCACACAGAATCCTCAACCCAGGAAAAGAAGGTAAGCTAGGAGGAGAGAAAAACAGAAGGGGAGGTTGCTACCGGAGCCCAAGCAAAGTGCCCACAGGCTGGGGCCGTGTCGCGGGCTGGACCTCCTAGCCTTGGTCGGGACTCCTGCCCCATCCTGATTGGTCTCTCCATAGCATCTCAGTAGTCCTGGGTTTGATAAGTAGTTGCTGCTCTTCTCTAGCTGCTGTGCTGATGGATCTGACTGCTGCAGAGGGTGCAGACAGAGTCCTACAAGATGCAGCTGGCAGGAGGTGGCACCCACGCCCTCACCCCCCAAAAGGCAGAGCGGCCGCTCCACCCCCATTATGTGCTTGGGCTTTCTGGCTCTGGCCAGACTCCTGCAGCCAGAGGTGCGGCTTCTAGAACTGGGGTCTGACCAGATGACGTGGGGTCAGCTTACTCGTTCCTCAGACTCTGAGTCACCCCGAGGGGGATGTGGAGTGACTCTCGAAAACAAATAGAAAAGTGGTAAAGAGGTGGCTGTACTTTATTTTATTCTCCCCCAGGGAAAAAAGATGCACTGTGTGGCTTGAAACCTAGATCTGCTGCCTGGTCTCCTCAAGCTCTGACATGTAAGGACAGGGCATGGCCAGGGGACACTGAGACGACACCTCCACAGCTGTGACGTGCATGTCGCAGGGTAAGGCCTTGCTGAGGGGCCCGGGGCACCCCCGAGTTCTCACCCCATCAAGATCCGCGCTATCCCCTGGAACCTGGGTGAAGAGCTCTCACGACTCAGCCACCCACTATGGAAGCGATACAGGCCCGAACAGACAGCAGTGAGAGAAGGAAGGACTGTTTACTGACGTTGTGACTTAGGAAGAGAAAAACGTGTGAACAGTTGGCTGAAATAGGGGAGAAAAAAGCCCTGTGGTTTCCTGGCCCAGAGCTTGTGACAAAATCTGTACAGTGTCCTGCTAACGGGGAGTGTGAATCTTACAAGCCTCTGAAGAAGGCTGAAAGCAAGTGAGTATCTGAGTTAAAGAGGTGTGTAAACTGAAGTGGAGACACAAGAAGTAAACTCTGGAAGGAGGTGGTAGAGACATCGACAGATATAACCAAAGAAACAGAAGGATGCCCTCTGCGAGGCCCAGGAAATGCAGCTGGGAAGAGACGTGAGTCTACAGAGTGGGAGACGGGACCGTCGCAGTGAAGAGGACAAGCGACTGGAATCCTAACCACAACCACAGCCACACACAGATTATACCTACGGGGATGGGACTTAGGACTCCACACCAAAGTAAAATGAAAGCTTTACTGCAAAAATAGTGGAATTAATGAAAGAGATCACAGAATCTGGAAGAAATGTATGAAGGGAAAGTCAGGGAATCTGCAAAAACAATAACGAATGGATGGCGAGATGGAGGGGTGAGTTTAAAAGGAGAGATAGAGGGTGAGAGATGGAGCCAATGTTTGTGAGCAGCCACTAAGTGTGGGGCGTTCTCAGCACGGGGTCTCTGTCAGTCCCCACTGCAGCCTCACACGGTGGGAGGATCATTCCCTCTTTATAGGTAAAACCCAGGGCCACTGGGGAGTCCTGTGTTGAGCCTCCAGCACACCACGGGCTTGACAACCAGCAAAGGCCTTAGGGACCACCTAGTGATGCCATCAGCCTGGGGAGGCTCAGGCCCAGAGAGACCCAGGGGCCAGAGCTGGACAGTCACAGACTTGCTCATTATCAAGACGGCCATGGGGAGGCCATTTGTATTACCTGTAACAAAAGTGTGTGCAAGTAGAAATGCAGCTTCAAAGGGCCAGCTGCCCCCCAGCGCACACAGCAGGTGGGCAAAGGCTCTCATCTCTCAACCCTGAGTGTGTGCATAAAGTATGTGTGGGGGCTGGGAAAGCTCGGGCTGTGCACTCTTGGTGCTTAGTGCAGGCTGTGGTCTCCAATGTCCCTCACCTCGTCCTGAACAAGCCAAGAGCCAGGGAGAATTTCCTGGGGGTTTCAGAGCCCTGGTCTGTCCCAGCACAGGCAGGACGCCAGGCGAAAGTGCCAGGACGCGTTGGAGGTATGTGGGATCATTAAGGTGACCTAATGTGGTGTCTCTATTACTGTGCATTAAGTAACAGAGACGTTGTCTTAAAACAGTTTTAAAATGGATAACCCAAGCAGACCAGAAGGAAAGTTTTCAATACCCCCAAGGCAATGTCCTGCATTTGACGTTCATGGATGATGGAATGCTTTGTCCCTGCCCTTAGTCCAGCTAATTGTTCTGAGGCATCTGTTGCTGGCTCCCAACATCCATCTCTGACAGTTTGTATGGCCCCAGGAGGGACCTGCATTGCTGTCCCCATCACTAGCACCCTTGTGCCCCAGGGCAAAGTAAAAGTTGGGAAACTGGATCTTCAAAAGCAGGATCCTGCTTCCTAACTGGGTTCAAGAAAACTTGAAGAGGTTGGAAATGTTTAGACTTACTATTTGTTATGTATATCACAAAAACACAATACGGCCCCATACAGTTCTGACACTCAATTCTCTCTTCGTGCATGTAGGGAGCAAGAGTTTCTGTGACTGGTGGTTTGAAATGAAACTTTCCGAGACGATATTGAGAAATCTTATTGTTCTTTTCCAAAAAGAGCATTAACTTCAGAAGCATAATAAGATTCATCATTATTACAAACGGCCACACCTACTGAAGAAGATCCAGTATTGTAAGAGAATCAATAATGTTGGCAAATCAATTCTGGTTACCCTAAAAATGAAGAAGCCCCACTTCTGAAATATCTATGGACCTTATGTAAACATTTCAACTATACGAAAATTTTAAATAAATATGAAAACAGGTAGTTCCTTACATGAAAGTACCTCTAAAATGTTTTTGTTCATCTTTAAACAAATGTCAAAAACATAAAACCTAAAATCCAAAATGCTGACACTTTCTCAAACATTGTTCCCCCATTAGATTGTTTTCAACATCTGAGCAGGCATCCAGATGACTGCAAAAGCTCTATGGTGGTCCATAATACAAGCCTTATGTTTTCCCATTGCTAACTAGAAATTCATTGTCTAGCCGAAGTTTAAAGAATGTATTCCTAACAGTCTCATAACGCACTCTTCAAAATTCAGGGTTGTCTAGCCTAACCAATAATCAAACAGGAAAATGTGCCTTACGTCTTCGGAGATGTCTGGTTGCCTCTTGGGCCATCTGCCAAGCTATCATTCAGGAGGAGAAGCGTAGTGTGCAAAGCTTCTGCCACCTTCCACGGCTCACTTTCTTCCTCAAACTGATTTCTGAGAGCCTCCAGACTGAGACCAGTCCCTGTGAGCACCTTCTGAAGTAGGCTGCCCTTTCGCCACTGATCAAACACCTACACATTTAGAAATAAAAACATTGTTATTAACGCTAATAAACTAGAAATAATAGTATTTAGTTAAAAACGTTAATAAACCATTCTAGAAGACAGAGAGCCCATTTTTACATTGTTGGCAGATCAAAATGTCTGTTAATTGCATTATAATTGAATTTCAACACAGAAATATTAAATATTACAAATTGCAACAATGGATGCATGCAACTATTTAATTGGGATCTATTTCTTTCTTTCCTCCCTCCATCCCATTCCCAAAAGAGAAAGCAATAACATACATTTCTAAACAAGTGACATATACCTTAAAAACTAAACTGACATGTTTGGGATAGTATAGATATATTCATATATTGTAAAATTATATTGTCATTAATACATAGTTACTAAACACTGTTTTATGTCATGGACTTGGGGATGATGATACTAAAAACAATTAGTATTGTGGTTTATCATCAACATTACACAAAAATAGATCGCTCCTGCCCAAAACATAAAGTGCAGGGAAATGCATGATGAGCAAATGCTTATGTGCGAAGTAATTCATTAAGCTTAATTAACCACGAGTTTATGTTACCCAAATGACGTGCAAAAAGAAAGTGTCCCCCTGACCATGTCCACGCTGGTGAGTTCAACACTGTTCCTTGATCATTTTAGTGCCAGATAAATTTAGTGCCACCACGTAGATAATCACATCTTCATTTTTTCAATATCCACTATTTGAGATTTTGACATTTATCAGTGACATATGTTAGGAAAAAAAGTTAAAGCTGTGTGTCCTGTGAGGAAAACACACGATGGGAAATGTAATGCCCAATAAAGCTAGTGGGGAGTGATTGTCACGCTGGCCCCTGCTTCACACCAGTCTCCACAGTCTCCCTGAAAAGCACAAAGCTGTGAACCAGCCAGGGAACACTCCGAGGCCGTCAGTACAGAAACACTCTACGGTGCCACACCAGCTTCCCTATGAAACAGACCACAGCCTTCTTTCTCATTGCTTCCCTTTAAGTTATCGTCACTGTCTGGGCACAGCACTTCCTGTCAAAACCAAAGGGAAGGGACAGGCCAGTCGGCACTCCAAGTACTCCGGGGTGCTGAATCCCTGCATTCAAACACCAGAGGAGGGGTCAGAGCAGCCCACTGGAAACCCCACATGCCAAAAATAGATTACAGTTCTTGTAATTGCCTCATGCACGTTTAAGTCTAAGACGGACTTTCTGGTGACATTTGTGTTGAGGACCCATGGATGCTCATGAGAGAAGGCGCACATATGGCCAGGATGTGGGGCTCCTAAGGCCTTTCCTGGGAAGGACATAAAATGAAACAGTGAACGAGGTGGGGGGAAAGTGAATGGATTTGCGGGCTCAAAGCCTCAGTTACCACGATGAATAAGCTCCAGAGACCTGCTGTACAGCTTGGTGCCTGTAGTTCACAATACTATATTATACACTTAAATATATGTGAAGAGGGTAAACCTATGTTAGGTATTCTCACCAAAATAAAATAAAACAACGAAAACAAGCAAAATCAAATGAAAGATGCAGGAGGAAAGTGAATGGGTTTGGACACATGTAAAACTGGCGCACGCCAGGACAGAGGTGTTTTGCTGGGGACAGCACCTGTTCGTAGACTTGCAGCCAGCTGACCACATTGACCAGGTCATCTTTAGCCGCTGACCACCTGGGGTGACAGTCTCCAGGGTGACTCTCTCTGTCAGCTTCGTCCTCGGAGGTGTGGGACAAGACTGAACACACCATCCACTCCAAGGAACTATCTGTGGGCATCTGGCAGCGATGCAAGTAATATGTAGAAGTCAAGCTTTTTTTCCTAGAATGTTTCTCTTCTAAGAACAATACCACATCTTCCCAAAGGAAAAGCTCTGACATGTGCTTGATTGAAGAAGCAACAGGTTGATAAGTTTTGCTTATAATATGCATGTGAATGTACCTTGAGAGAAGGTTTTTGGAGTTAAGGAAAAATTGATTATATTTTTCAGGAGAATCCACAAGCAGTGGGAACATCTGTTCCTGCAGGCTGAGGACATGGGCAGAATCAAATATTGTTCATTTTCATTCTCTGGCCGAAACCAAGCACAGGCCAGCCCAGATTAATTGACACGTTGGACTAACAACGTTACTTTGCCAGAAACATTTTCTTTTCTAGTTATCAAAGATGGATTAAGTCAGAAGGATTCAAATTGGAGTTCTGGGTCAGAAATTGTTCAACATTTTTGAGCCAAAACTTTACTTCTGTAAATGAACTTCCACATGCAGTTTTTCTAACGTTAGTCTATAAAAATACTTATGTTTGTGCTAGAATGAGCCATGTTCCCCTATTACATAGTTTTACAATAATTGTGGTGTCACCTTTTAGAAATTCTATCAATGACAATGGTCGAAAAGCATTAAAGCCCCATTTTTTCCTTTTGTATTTTCCTTTAGGATTCAGATTTAAAATATTCACTTGTCACAATCAAGTGACAAAGCCACTGGGTCTTTCATGGGTTTTCTTCTGTTTATTTTTTCTTTTAATTAAAAAAAAAAAAAAGTCAGGGGCCAGCCCAGTGGCGTGGCGGTTGAGTTCACACGCTCTGCGTTGGCGGCCCGGGGTTCGTGGGTTTGGATCCCTGGCGCGGACTGACGCACCGTTCATCAAGCTATGCTGTGGCGGCGTCCCATATAAAGTAGAGGAAGATGGGCACAGATGTTAGCCCAGGGCCAGTCTTCCTCAGCAAAAAGAAGAGGATTGGCAACAGATGTTAGCTCAGAGCTAATCTTCCTCGCAAAAAAAATAAATAAATAAGTCAGCAAGTACAATGTATCTTATTAGGGAAATAAGGCCCAGTCCCTGTCCTGAGGACTCGCACTGTCTGTAAGAGGCAGACACACAGCCATCGGGTTCTTGAGATGTGCTATCACAGAAGGTCACAGGGGAGAGAGACGGAAGCAGGGGTGAGGTCATGAGGGTTCCACAAGGACATGAGACTAGAACCTTTCTTTTTTTTTTTTTTGGTGAGGAAGATTGGCCCTGAGCTAACATCTGTGCCCATCTTCCTCTACTTTGTATATGGGACACTGCCACAGCATGGCTTGATGAGCAGTACGTAGGTCCACGCCTGGGATCCAAACCCGTGAACCCCAGGCCACCAAAGCAGAGACCACGAACTTAACCACTACGCCACTGGGCCAGTTCCAGACTAGAACCATTTTTAAGTGAGAAGTGGAGAAAGGAAGAGAGAAAAACTACTCTATTCTAGGGGCAGCATATGCTGAGGTCCCAGAGTGTGGCAGTTTCCAAATCAGGCAGAACTTGGGGGAGGACCTGGGAACCCATGCTGATGCTGGCCTTACATGGTGCTTGAGGTAAGGTAATGGTCCCTCAAAGATGCTCACGCCCTATTCCCCAGAACATATGAATATGTTATGTGGCGTGGCAGGAGATAATTGAGTTTCCAGATGGAATTCAGGTTGCTAATCTGCCGATTTTGAGATGAGGAGATTATCCTGGACTATCAAATGAGCTGCAGGAAATCACAAAGCTCCTTAAGTGTGGGAGAAGGAGGCAGAAGAGTCAGAGTGATGCATTGTGAGAAAAACTCAATCAGCCATTGCTGGCTTTGAGGATGGAGAAGGGGCCACAAGCCACAGAATGCAGCAGCCTCTAGAAGCTGGAAGTGGCAAGAAAGCAGAACCTCCTTGGAGCTTCCAGAAGGAATGTGGCCATGCAGACACCTTGATTTTAGCCCAGGGAGACCCATTTTGGACTTCTGACCTCCAGAACCGTATGATAATAAACATGTATTGTTTTAGGCTACTACTTTGGTGGTGATTGGTTACAGCAGCCACGGGAGACTCATACCTGCAGTATGCAATTTCCACAGAGCTTTGTGGACACTCAGTGGTATTTCCTGACCATTTTCCTTTTATTCTGATTTCAAAATGTATACCTTCTAAGGTGAAAGTTTTATACGGCTTAACTCAAACTATATTTTACAATAATGAGAAAATAGGATCATAAAGTACGAAGAAAACTGGAGCACAAGTCAGCTGACTGGGGTATCCCGTCTACAACAGCGCCCATGAGAAACGCCAGGGTCATGATTCCAAGTCCCACAGGAGATAGATGGTTAAAAAACTGTGCCAGGTGCAAGACAAGAACAGAGAACTGCTTATGCTGTGGCCAAGCCTACCACCCACGTGGCAGTAGGGTTTTCCAAACACCATGCCAGCACAGGAGATAGCAGGCTGTGTCCTGGGAAGGCCAGCCTCTAACCCCTAGACTAACTGCACAGATCCGGAACCCAAAAGTCAAAAGCAACAGTCTGGAGGACAGGTCCAGGCACCAAAGGGAGACAGGTGTGCAGTTCTTGGGTCCTGCACCCTGCAAAGCAGAAGCGCCCTCAAATGTGCTGAAGTGACAGAAGGGAGCTGTGAGGTAAAGGATCCCTCCCGGATCCTCAGCAACAGCAGCGGTGAACTGGGTCTTGAGGGATCAGCTAGTCCAACCTGTTCATTTTACACAGTTTGGAGAGAGAGGCTCATATCTGGTGAGGCCAGCTGTCCCCTATGACCTCTGCCTCCCCGTCCCCAGCGGCAAGCCTCTCTGCCTGGAAGGCAGTCCTCTCATCCCCCTTCATGCTCCATCTGGACCCGTGCAACTGCCCTCTGGTCTTCAGAATCTCACACCATCACCTGACCTGGCTCCTCCCACTGCTAGCGCCAAGAGCAATCAAGTGACTACGACTTCCAAACTGCCTTTGAGGCTGCGATAAAATGACAAGGTAAGAGGAAAGGGACACTTCCAGAAAAGCCAGACATAGCAGAGGCCTGCCATGTCCAAGGAGCTCAGATTTTAATAGAACTCTGCCGTCCTGCTGCCCTCTCCCATTGCACCGCCCACCCTGCCCCAGGGGCATGTTCTACAGTCACTATCAAGGAGAAATCCAACAGTGTGAGAAGCAGTTGAGCGTGTGTACCTCCTGTAGTTCAGCTGAATAATTCATGATTTGTTCCGCATGAAGGTCATCAAAACCAAATTGGGATTTCAGGTCAGCCTGGACCTTCTGTGGATCTGGCATCAGCTTCTGCAGGGACAGGTTGTATCCTGACTCTGCAAGACAACCAGTGATTTATACGGTCAGTCGTTTCAACGTTGTGACACGTCCAAAGTAATTCAGAAAATGACGTCTTCTTCACTTGTAAAGGAAAGCCAAATGAAGACCAAATGCCATTTGGACAATCAAATAGGAGAAGCAAACAGAAGTGAATACTGGACGCCACAGAGAGTGTGGTCAGAGGGCACATGATCCCTGAGATAAATGACTGCAAAGATTCTAGGAGGTAATCCGACAACATATTTCAAGAACTTTATGAAATTCAAATCATTGAGCCATAATTTCACTTCTAAAAATCTATCTCAAGAAATCTAATCAGATATATGAAGAAGAAGTAATGTACAACAGCGTTATTGCATTGGTTTTATACTGATTAAATACTGAAAAGTAGCTAAGGCATCTAGCATGGGGGAAAAGGATAAATTACGGTACATTTGTGGCACAAAATAGTAAGGAGTCTTTAAAACTATATTTCCAAAAACTATTTAAAGTCATAAAAAAAGATTCCCTAACAGAGTTAATCAAGGTATAAAACTCATAAGCCACCCAAATAACCCAGCAATGCCACCCACAAGTGGCACACCCAAAATGTAATTCCGAGACCCCCAAGGTTTGACAAAATCTCTGGCAAGTGTGGCCCAGCAATCGCAAACATGAGAGCATATAAATTCCAAGGTGAACCTTCATCTGAAAACCCAGAGACTAGATGGTTTTAGAACATGATTTAACAACCATCGCTGAGTGCCTACATGTGCCAAGCACCGCAAAACCATTTTCACAAGCGTGATCTCATGGCACTTTAAATTAACGCTGTGGGTCAACAGAAAAGGTACAATCCTGCCACTTAGAAAAAAGAGCCCAGTCAGGCAACTTCAGGAAGATATTGAAGATGGGGCGGACCCGAGGATCCAATACTCCTCGCTTCCAGTCTGGTTGTCTTTGCATGATATCCAGGGGAAAAGACTGATTCTGAGATTTAAACTAGCATTTATCATGTATCGAAGAGGTACCAGCCCCTAGGCCAGGCATTTCCCATGCCAGGTTTCAGCGAGTCCTCTAACAACACGACAGGTAGGTGCAGTAATTATGCCCTTTTGGGGGGTGAAGGAAGCAGACATTGAGAGTCACTTAAGGTCACACTTCTAGATCAAGTCGTGATTCAAACCCAGGAGCTCTGATTCCCAGCCTGAGTTGTAACCACTAACCTCTACTGCTCTCAGAACGTACTAGAATTATTCACAGAATTCTAGAAAGGAGTGGGGAAAATAGATAGTAACATCAGTCAATGAATGGGTATAAAACTTTAAAATCATTCTAAAAAAGTGAAAGACACCTTGAGTTCTGAAGCTCATTTCTGAATGACAGAGTTCAGAAGACGTGGATTAACAATTTCAGTCAATAACATGACTGGTTCATTAGCCCAAAGCCACTGACAGGGCCTGTCCCTGTCTCTTCACACACTGTGATCTGCTTATTTGGCAAAAGAATTTTTCTTGGAGATAACAGAAATGAAGACAACTTTTAGTTGCATCTAGAAGTATGTTTTGTAATAGTATTCCTTAGCTCTGATTCACTGGCAAATTAATAGAAAATAGCTTATTTTAATTACATTCTTAATGATAATTATATTTCCAACTATAAGGTAAGTTGATTGTTATAATTTGGATGATGTACAAAAACTTGAGCTTCCTAATGTGTTTGTTAAAATGAGGTCACTGGGAAGATTTCAATGAGATATTTGATGTGTCTCCCACTCCACCTCTGGGTTCTGTTCTGAGCATGAGGAATAGCAGCGCCTGCTGGAATTAACCTACAGGAGAAGCAGGCTAAATATTAACGACCTGGCTTCCCTCTTGCAGAGCACACAAACTCTTCTTGTCTATAGGGGTCCTCCCTACACTGAGTCACCAGAAACAGGAAGAACCTGGGGTGGGATTGGAGGTGATGCAGGATGTCGTGTTAGGTTGTTTCGTGGAGCAGGAAAAATCCGGAAGGAATCAGAGAAATCTCTGTATGTAACCATCTCATTATATAGGCCAGGAGACTGAGATCTTGAGCGTAAGTGACAGATGGAGACAACGTAATCCTGGGGCTCCTGACCCTGGGCTTGCCTGCCTCTAATTCACCCCCTGACACCTGCCCCAGGAGTATCTTCCTACAGTACAGATCTAATTCTGCTGCTCCAGCATCCTTCTATGGTCTGGCCTGGGCTCTCTTTCTGGATTACTTCCATTACCTGCCATTGCCCACTATACCCCAGACACACTGAATGTCAGACACATGGGCCCTCTCAAGCCCTGAAACTTCACACCCACTGTTCCTCTTCCTGGCAGTGCTCCCTGGTCTCTAATGAACTCCAACTCATCCTTCAAAACTTCTCCTTGAAGCTTTTCCTGAGAAAGATGCCCGATCCCTACACTGTGGCTTCTGTTTTTTCTTTACTGACACATCTCCATCCTTTACTAAACATGACTTCCCTGAGAGCTAGAACCCTGTCTTATTCAGGTTTTCATTTCCACTGTTTGGAACAGTGTTTATCTCAGAGAAAGTGCTCAATAAGTGTTTACTGAATGAGAGAATGAGTAAATGAATGGATGGGTGAGTGGGCGGATGGATGGATGGATGGATGAGTGGGTAGATGAGCAGTTGGGTGGACAGGTGGGTAGATGGATGGATGGGTGGATGGGTGGATGGATGGGTGGACGGACGGATGAATTCTAACTCCACTGTTCTCTCCCTATATTTCTCTTACAGAAAGAGACAGAGAAAGAGAGAAGGAGAGAAATAAAAATAAAATATTCAGGCCCAGTTGACTGTTCACAAAATAATACCCTGAAACAGAGAGTATAATGGTGGTTGCCAGGGGCTGGGAGTGGGGAAAATGGAGAGACACTGGTCAAAGAGTACAAACTTTCAGTTATAAGATGAATAAGTTCTGGAGATCTAATGTACAGCATGGTAACTATAGTTACTATTACTGTATTGCATACTTGAAATTTACTAAGACATCTTATACATTATCACCCCCCAAAAAGTAACTATGTGAGGTGATGGATGTGTTAATTAATTTGATCATGGTAATCATTCCACAATGTATATGTATATCAAATCATCACATTTTACACTTTAAATATACACAACTTTGTCAATAAAATAAAATAAAATAAAATGAATATTCAATGAAAAAAGAAAGAAAGAATACCTGGGGTCAAGAATAGAGCCAAATAATGCCACCCTCCCCAATGGAAGGGCTGTCTGTTCAGTTAGTAGGCTTTACAAATCCATATTAATCTGCCTCCTCTCACTGGCCTTACTGTTTTTCAAATATTTCTTCCTAATAGAAGCTCAGGAGAGAGGAAAGATTAAAATCAGAGAACTTGCGATAGGTCTATCCTTAGAAGACAAGTCCAAGAATTTTATAATCAGTTATTTTTTAATTAAAAATAACATTATTAGCAATGACTGCAGAATTTCAGCAATGTTAGAAAATCAAATTCAGGTTTGAGTTCCAAATTTTCAGTCTACTTCTCCCTTTAATTAACAGAAACAACTGACTCTTTTTTGCATTTGATATTTTACTTAAATCATCTCTTTGAAAAACATTTTAGCTCTATGGCGGCTGTCAATAAATTTAAGTAGTAAAACATTTGAAATATCACAAGAGCTTTAAGTTTGCCATACCAGTGGCTGTTACACCATGCTCTTGCAGAAGTGCCAACGTCGAAATGCTCACATTCAGCACGATTTCAGAAACCCTGGAAACGTTGTGGTTGAGTGGCAGCCAATCTAAATCTTCTAGAGATGTTAAGGAACTAGAACCAAAACAAAACCAGAGCAATGCAAGTTAGCAAAACAAGTAGCATCGATCCAGATTTACTTACCTACACCCACCAGGCCCCGTTCCCGTGCAAGACATGGCTGAGCGATTTACGTGTCAGCATTCACCGTGGCTTTCAATGTAACCCTCACTCCCCAGACTAGGAACTAAACATAAGAGGTAAGTGCTTTCTTACGATCACTCGGGCAGCTGACGAGGCCAGCCAGGATGCAAAGTGCTGTCGTCTCAGGAGAGCAAAAGAGCACTCAGCCTGGCTGCTTCGCGTTCAGATGCCCGGTTTAATATTTGCAGGGCAGCCTAGTAGAATGTCACATACCCCAATCCCCCACTCTGTCTTGACCCATGGATCTGAGTACGTCAGGGTTCAATCAGTGGTCTTCGAATTGTTTCACGGAACAAGGGGCTTTGGGGAGTCCACATGTTTATAATGTTAATTTTGTTTTTTAAATATCAATATTTTATTTTATAAATAATCATAATCAAACTTGTAAATTAGAAAATCTATTCAACTGAAGTGAGAATGTATCTAAATGTTAGCAACACGAGACCAACAATACATAAGTCGTGCTTCAAAACCAGTTATTTTCCCAGCTTCTTGTTAAGGAAAATCTCTCATGGCCCCTTGCGTATCGATGAGTATCCCAAGAGTACAAGATATATCACTGCAAACTGGCTCCACATGCAAATACTTATCTCTGTGAATGCAAATTTTCTTTACATCATGTCACCCAAGCAAAATATAGAAATAAAATTAACAGGGAAGCTGATGACAGTTCAACAACTGTCATCAACATCTTCTAATTTCAAACTTTGTCTCTCCAAAGAGCCCTCGTGCTCTCACTGCCCACTGCACACACGCTCAGGGCTTAGGGCAAGACCACCAAGGGAAGCACCCCCACTGTGCTCAAGTAAACCAACAAACTGTCAAAATAAGTTCCATTCTCCTACATTGACAAATACACCTTCATGAGAGCTTGGAAAGCCATGTTCAAATCTGGAATCTTCTGATCCTCAGAGTTGTCCACCAGAATGTAGGGGTTTGGGAGGACCCGCGCCTGTCCCCTCAGCTTGCTCCTCCCCCACTTGTCCCCCACTCCACCTGTACCTCAAGGGGCCTCGTGTGCACACATGTGGACATGCCATCCTGCACATCCAAGCACCATCCACACCCTCCGCCCCACCCTCCTGCCAACAGCTGGACCACCCTGGGCCTCAGGGTGCACACTCCAGTGGTGGGAGCTGCCCTCAGCGTGGGGTAGCAGGGAAGAGGCCCACACGGCTCTGCAAGAGGGCTCTGGCCATCGGGGCAGGGAGCTCCAGGGTGAGGGCATTCTGTGGGCAAATCCTCTTGGCCTCCTGGGCTTCCTGAGCCATGAGCAGAGGCACAGCTTGCCAAAGGCCAGAGAGGGGTCCCTCTTTGGGGCAGGGACCCTCTAGTCCTGACCTAAGGCCAATGCTGATTGTTCTCACTGATGGCAGATAAAATAAGTAAAAGCTAAAAATCTGAAAAGAATATAATCTTTTGCTAATAAAATACCATACTTATACAGTAGGTTTACACAAAAGAATTCAACTGGCGGGGGAAAAAGACCATGTTATTAAAACATGGGGAACCCACCATGAGAAGGGATCCACTCAAAGGTAACCTCCAGGTAACATCGGATCAGATCCATAATAGGAGACCAGTGCTCAACTCACTGAGTTACACAATGGAAAGAACAGAGCTTTTCAGCTCTGGATGATATTTTGGGCAATTGCAGCATCATTTATTAAGAAATTAGTTAAAATTATAATGTTCATGTCACATCTCCAATAATGAAAAACTTAGAAACAACCAAAAGTCCGATTATAAATGATCAAGGAAATTATGGTATATGATACCTTACCAAAATGGAATAGTCTGTAGCCATTAGAAATGATCATTTGAAGACTATTGGAACATATGAAAGGCTGATGTAATGTTAAATTGTTTAAATCGTGGAGAATATGCTCTGAAAAACATTACTACATTTATGTAAAATATTTATACAGGTAGACAACGGACAGGCATGGAGATGCAATAGTTCTAGCCATTTCAGGGTGACATTATTCTGAATTTTTTTCTTGTATCGAAAAATTACTCAGAGATATATATTTTCCCATTAAAAAGTGAGGAGGAAAAACCAACACATTTATAATTGGTTATATTTTTCTTTTTAACTCACTTCAAAACTGCCTGGAGAAGGTGTTGTCCACCACGTATGCCATCTTCAACGTGGACATTGCCTGCATATAGTCTCGGCAGTAAAAGTAGAAAATTCCAGATGTGGGGCTGCTGGTGAAGGCTTTCTAATTTTGATATCACCTCCTCGGTCTTATTGAGATCCACCTGATAAAAAAAATACCAAGAGTTTTCCTCTTTAGTTTTGTTAATCAATGAAATGATTGCGGGGTAGGGGAGGGTACTGCCACAAAGGGGCAAGAATGTGGAACCTCTGGGGGCAGAGACTTGTGCCTGAGATGTCACTATTTTGAATAGACAAGATTTAAAAATTATTCACCAACTTGGAGAATATATTTGCAAATCATATATCCAACAAGGGGTTAATTTCCAAAATATATAAAGAACTCATACAACTCAACAACAAAAAAATGAACAACCCGATCAAAAAATGGGCAGAGGATATGAATAGACATTTTTCCAAAGAAGATATACAGATGGCCAACAGGCATGAAAAGATATTCAACATCACTAACTGTTAGGGAAATGCAAATCAAAACTACAATGAGATATCACCTCACACCCGTCAGAATGGCTATAATTAACAAGACAAGAAATAACAGGTGCTGGAGAGGATGTGGAGAAAAGGGAGCTCTCTTACATTGCTGGTGGGAAAGCAAACTTGTGCGGCCACTATGGAAAAGAGTATGGAGATTTCTCAAAAAATTAAAGATAGAAATACCATATGATCCAGCTATTCCACTACTGGGTATTTATCCAAAGAACATAAAATCAATAATTCAAAAAGATATATGCACCCCTATGTACTGTGGCATTATTCACAATAGCCATGACATGGAAGCAACCCAAGTGCCCATCAACAGATGAATGGATAAAGAAGATGTAATATATATATATACACACAGACATAATGGAATACTACTCAGCCATAAAAAAGACAAAATTGTGCCATTTGTGACTACATGGATCTACCTTGAGGGTATTATGCTGAGGGAAATAAGTCAGACAGAGAAAGATAAACCCCATATGATCTCACTCATATGTGGGAGATAAACAAACACATAGATAAGGAGAATAGATTAGTGGTTACGAGAGGAGAATGGGGTGGGGGGAGGGCAAAAGGGCTAGAGGGGCACATATATATGGTGACGGATAAAAACTGAACTGTTCGTGGTGAACATGATGCAGTCTATACAGAAACTGAAATATAGTGATGGACACCTGAAATTTACACAATGTTGTAAGTCAATATGACGTCAATAAAATAATTTTTAAAAATTATTCTGTTAGGTTGGGTTTTTTTTTAATGTTGTGAAAGTATGGACAGAGAAAGAGAAATAGCGGTCTGTTTTTATAACAAGCTGTACCAATTTCTAAGATTTTGAGAAAGATCTTAGAAATAAATGATGAGTACAAATCTGAATAAAAATAAAACACCTACTGTTAGTATAGGTTTTCCTGTTATTGCAGGGGAATCCAATCATAACTGATACACAGTGTAAATAGTTGAATATTATGCTTCCTCCACACAAAAATCCCTAACTCCCTGTCTTCCACCACCCCAAGAGCTGTTTTTGATGGCACAACCAATAGAATCCTAGTATGGAGGAAGGTAAATAAAAAACTACGGGTAAAACAATATTTTGCCAACAACAGTCATGGAATAAGAAACTACAGACCAGATTTCTTTTTCCTGAGTAAAAAACGAGACCAAGGGAAAGAAGTAAAGATGTTCATTCTAATAGGTAGAAGAACTTTCTCCTCAGGCAAAGGTGTAGGGAAAGTGGTGATAGAATCCATTTCATTAAAGCCATAAAGCAGTTGCTTTAAAAATAGCAAAGCAAGAAAGGTTTGAATACTAGGGCAGTACTAAAAGGAGCAGAGAAAAGGACTGTGTGGGAAAATCAGAAAGAAACCCCAAATTTTAACTAAGCATTGATGGCTTGGTCAGAAGGCACCTTTTTGAGCCTAGTACGTGGCACAGAACCTTCAGATTATTCTAGAAGCTTGAGTTTTTCACACTATACACGAAGAATGGCAAAGTGAAAAACAGAATGAATGTGAGTCTCCAGCACATCCCTGAGTCCCCACGCTCCCTCTGGGTGACATTACACCCAGACTCTCAACAACATCCCAACGAGAACTAGCCTACACATCTGTGCTCTGAGCCCCACAATTGCTAGCTCTCTTCTCTCAATCTAGTTCCCATTCCTTCAATAAAGCTGAGTGCAGCATTTCGTGTCACTCAGAAAAGCTGTACCATCTTTCCTTCAGATTCGATACAGTGCTGTGGTTATTTTAAATAAACACGCTTCAGGTCTCCAGCTACTCCATAGAGGACATGGCTCCCTCTGCCTCCACACCACCCTCAGCAGGAATGAAGAGGGGGTTCCAGAAGCCCCTAGGGCCACTTCCTGACATTTATTGAGGATTTTGGCTTCTGACCCACTGCAACCCGCTCCAACATAATTCCTTTCATGATTCTTAGAGACTTCAACATCTGCTATGTGATCCTTCAAATTGCCTCTGTTACTTGAGCCCCTTCATCCAATGTTTTCTGCTACCTACTTGAATCACCCATTCCCATGGTCAAAATCTTGACCTTTTCATTACCAATAACCAACTTCATGCTCCTCACTCTCTAACTAATAACTCCAGCTCCTTCCCTCCAACACCAACTCAGCCCTACCAGGACCCACACCCACCAACCCTGCCATGGTTTCACAGCCACCTCTCCTTCTTCTCCTCATCGCCCTCACGTCCTTGGTCTATGACAACAATCTTTCCCTTGAATAACCACTCAACTCTCCTCTCTTACATCACCGTACACTCCCTTGCAAAATATCCAACCCCAGTTAAAGTCAACATTCTGCCTAATCCATACCCTCGCGCTTGTAGCTGAATCTGGCTGCAGAAAGCTACACAGTGGTGCCGACTCTCCCAGGCTGTCTTCATGCCCACTTGCCTTCCGTGTGCAGAGCTCAGCTTCATCTTACAACTGTAATGTATCTTCCTTGTCCATTTTCTTCCCCACTCTCCTAGAAGCTCTTCTGTGCCTTTTCTCCCTTTAAATCTCCAAACTCCTTGTCCTCTGCCATCACTTTTAGCTATCTACTTGCTTCCTATTTCTCTGAGAAGTGGAAATACTCAGAGAGAATTTCCTCACACAACCATATGGGTCTCCCAACCTACCTACATCTGGGCTTGTATAGTTCCCAAGACCTACTGGTGCCAAACCCTCAACCCACGCTCCAGCTCTGCTGCCCTCCCACTCACCCAAGGGCACCACTCCAATGATCCCTCTCTCTTTTCCTTTCTGTAGGTTCATTCCCATCAGCACACTGTCATCTATAAAGCACAATCTGTTCCTGCCATAAATACATAACCCCAAACCCAACCACGAGGAGACATCAGACAACCCCAAAATTGGGAGACAGTCTGCAAGATAAGTGACCCCCTCCAAAAATGTTGATGAAATGAAGACAAAGCAAGACTGAGAATGTTCCAGAATAAAGGCGACTAAAGAGAGAGGACAACTGAATGCAACACCTGATCCAGGATTTTCTTTTGTATTAAGGACATTATAGGACAAGTGACAAATCTGGAAAAGGTCTGTGTGTTAAATGATAGTATTATATTAGTGCTAATTTCCTGATTTTAATAGTTATACTGTGGTTATGTATGAGAAGTATACACTGAAGTATTTAGGGATAATGAGTTACCATGTCTAACTTATTCTCCAACACTTCAGAAATATGATAGAGATATAAATATAGATACACAGAGAGAAGAATTAAATAAAGGTGATGAAAATGCTATCGTTTGGGGAATCTGAGTAAAAGACGTGGTAATTCTTTGTACTATTCCTACAACTTTTCTATAAGCCTGAAATTATGATGAAAACGAAAAGTTGAAGAAGAAAAACCTACAATGTAAAACGGTTAAAATATCTCAAAAGGGATGGAGGGAGGGAGGGAGGGAGCAAGGAAGGAAGGGAGGAAGGAAGGAAGGA